GGGGGGAAGTAGAGGATGGGAAGTGGGTTCAATGACAGAAGACCTAGAGCGTCAGAGCAGGCTCTGGGTCCTCACTGGGCACACTGTATGTATGTGGATTATGGGACCACACCTGTTAGGGCTGGGAGGGGCTTCACAGCCTTGGAAAAGTCCAAGCTTTTCATGTTACAGGTAGGGAAACTGAGGCACCAATAATCCAGGTAATCTTCACATGGTGTGGAGGCTTGGATGAATTCAGGTCCCCTATCTGCCATGCAGACTTCTCTCCACTTGTTGCCTGAGGTCAGTAATTTCCCAAGATGATTTCAAACAAATTGCTCCCAGCTCTGTGAGCACTTGCTGTTCCTCCCATTGAGAAAGCCTCGTTCCTCTCCCCTTGAATCTCAGATGACCTTGAGACTTGCTCTGACCAGTAAATTATGGTGGCAGTGATGCTGTAGCAGTTCTAGGCTGAGGCTGTAAGAAGCCCATCAGCTTCAGCTTCCTCTCTCTGGACCCCTAGACACCATGTAAGAAGGGTGACTGCCCAGCTAGAGCGAGGCCCAGCCACCCCCAGCCATTCCCAGATGAAGCGCCACATCTAGAGTAAAGCACAGTCGGGCTCACAGGTGAATGCAGTCGATACCAGGCTGGGGGCGGTGGCTCATGCGTGTAATCCTAGCACTCTGGGAGGCCAAAGCGGGCAGATTGCTCGAGGTCAGGAGTTGTTCGAAATCAGCCTGAGCAAGAGTGAGACCCCATCTCTTCTATAAATAGAAAGAAATTAATTGGCCAACTAATATATATAGAAAAATTTAGCTGGGCATGGTGGCGCATGCTTGTAGTCACAGCTACTAGGGAGGCTGAGGCAGGAGGATTGCTTGAGCCCAGGAGTTTGAGGTTGCTGTGAGCTAGGCTGACGCCACGGCACTCACTCTAGCCTGGGCAACAAAGCGAGACTCTGTCTCAAAAAAAAAAAAAAAATAGTCGATACCAAGTGGAGCCAAAGAACAATCAGCTGAGCCCAGGAAATTCACAGAATTGTGAGAAATGTCCAAGGATGTTGTTTAAGCCACCATTTGGGAAAGTCTGCTACATAGCAATGGATGACCAAATATGTTCTCTCTGGGCCTTGCAATTTTTTCAGCAGATACCTCTTTCCCTCTAACTCCCTCCTCTCCTTCCGCTCCTCCCCCCCACCTGCCCCCTACATTTTCCACTGAAAATTGGTTGTGAGGGACTTGAAGAAGCTTCAGCAGGACAAGGCCTGCAGGGGATTTGGAATTTGATGAGAATTCAACTTGTAAATTAAGCAGGTTGTTGAACCTGTTTGATCTTTAGGAACAGTCTCCAACTGAGGGCATTGTTAGGGGCAGGAGGAAGGGAGCATTTGAGAATTATCTCTAACGCTTTTACCCTGGCAATACACCCTATGTGTGGATTCTGATGGCATTTACTATGCTTAATAGTCACCTCTTGAGTATGTATTCCAGAATACACACTTCCATTGATGGCTAACTGCCTCTGGGGTATAAACTGGAGTGAACTTATATATAAACACACACTTACCTGTTTATGCCGAAGTGCTTTATGGTACGTGACCACTCAGACAAGACAATGATACCAGAAAATGTTCAGGTTAATACCCCACCAGGATTTAAATCTGACACACCAGGTTTTGAGCCTTATAATTGGAGGCTATAGTTGGGCACAGAAGGCTGATACACGCTATAGCATTTCCATTCCCCCCACACTTGAGTAACCCTGTACACCTATATATGTAAAGCAAAGGTACAAGTTGATGACTCAAAATCCTCTTTCAATGCCTTCTAAAACTTTTTAAAGTCACCCTTTTCCCACCCAGAATACTGTCCACTGAGTTCTGCAGGACAGAATTATGCCAATAAACAGAACTTACTTTTGTCTCTGTAGCATTTCACACTGCACCATGTTGTGTTAACCATAATCTTCCTTATACGAATCAAAAAGAGTAGTTCCTATTAATTATCAAAATCAAGGTGAGAATGTCTCTTCTTTGGCATAGTTCCTTTAATGTGGGGATAAGGCAGAAAGGAAGGTCGAGAGAGCCTAAGTGTGTCCATTTAGGTCGAGACCAGACCAAACAAGGACATCGCCAGCAAGTTGCTGGATCGGGACCACCCGAGGATGGGTGAATTACTAAGCCAGATGCCTTCCAAACTGTGCTTACCTTTCTGTGCCAGCAGTTTATGATTAATCTTTTTTTTTATTTAATTTTTTTTTTTTTGAGACAGAGTCTCACTCTGTTGGCCGGGCTAAAGTGTGGTGGCATCAGCCTAGCTCACAGCAACCTCAAGCTCCTGGGCTCAAGCAATCCTCCTGCCTCAGCCTCCCAAGTAGCTGGGACTACAGGCATGCGCCACCATGCCCGGCTAATTTTTTCTATATGTTTTTAGTTGGCCAATTAATTTCTTTCCATTTTTTAGTAGAGACGGGGTCTCGCTCTTAGCTCAGGCAGGTTTCGAACTCCTGACCTTGAGCGATCCTCCCGCCTCGGCCTCCCACAGTGCTAGGATTACAGGCATGAGCCACTGCACCTGGCTGAGAAGCAAGATTTCCTGCAGGAAGTCGGCTGCGATTGTGAACACTTGGCCCCGTTGTTTAAACATCTGTCCGACCGTTTTCGGTAGGAGACTCAGAACTTTACTCACACACGTGTTCTGTGAAGTACAGGTGACCTCCGCTCTTACGTGGACACATACCTTTCACATAGCTCTTTGTGTTCGTGTCCTATGGTGTTTTCTTGTACCAGTTCCTCTGGACCTTAAGTTTCCTTTAAGGGACGCTCATTGCCACTCTGGCACTCCCAAAAGTTTGGGTTTTTTCTATTACTAACATGTACTTTCTCTGCTGGGGGCAGTCCAATCTTCCAAACATTTAGCATAGGGAGGTAAGACAAGGTTTTATGATCATTTATTATAGTAAATATCAGTTCACTTGCCTAATCTTCTCACCTGTCCCTCCAGCTCATTGCCAGCGAGGTGGAGGAAGAGACAGGGCTGAACGCCAGCATGCGATGTCACTAAAGGGCTGCTGTAGCCCTGCTTGGGCAGGCTCTTCCCTGCCAGACTGAGGCCGCGTGAGCCGTCCTGATGTATTGCGCACACGAGCCCCAGGGCACATTGGTAGTCTGTGAAGGCAACGCCATCAAAGCCAGAGAAGGCTGGATTCACAGCCAACTGGTTCTTCTCGGTAATTTTCTGGGGGTGTCTATGAAGGATGATGATACAGGGGGTGTCCCAGTTAAGGGAGGGAGCCCCCTGAGCTCGCCAAGTGGGTTCTTGGCTTTGCGCAGGAATGAATCCGAGAGCCAGCCAAGCAGCGACAGAAAGTTTATTGAGAGAGACAGACAGCAGGTCCTACCCCACAGACAGTAGGTAGGGGTCCTCTTCCAAGTAGGAAGGGGACACTTTACAGGGCAATGGTAACATTTTTAAATGATAAAAATAATTCCGTACGTGACCAGCATTGTCTTGAGGTCAGGCCATAAAGGTTAATCATGGCCCGGTGCGGTGGCTCTCATCTGTAATCCTAGCACTCTGGGAGGCTGAGGCGGGAGGATCGCTCGAGGTCAGAAGTTCGAAACCTGCCTGAACAAGAGCGAGACCCCATCTCTACTAAAAATAGAAAGAAATTAATTGGTCAACTGAAAATATGTAGAAAAAATTAGCCGGGCATGGCAGCACATGCCTGTAGTCCCAGCTACTGGAGAGGCTGAGGCAGAAAGGATCACTTGAGCCCAGGAGTTTGAGGTTGCTGTGAGCTAGGCTGACGCCACGGCACTCTAGCCCGGGAAACAGAGTAAGACTCTGTTTCCAAAAAGAAAAAAAAAAATCCTGCTTCTTGTAGAGGAGAGGGCCAGAGAAAGCAAGTGTTGCCAGAGTTTCAGGATCGATTGGGTTTTGAACAGTGCAAAGAACAAGGGGACGGGGGAGCAATGACAAGACAGTTTCTGCCTTCCAGGAGCGTGAAACCTGGCCCAGGAAATGAAGTACTAGAAGCACACAAGAAGGAAAGCCACACGAGGTGGCGTATAAAATCAGATAAACTCCCTTTCTGAATCACCTGCAGATGACATAAAAGACAGATGGAAAACTTCTGCCAAAGGCAGGGAGGGCAGGAGGTCTGATCACACGTTTATTTGCAGTATAAAAATGAACTGAGCGGTGACTAGGATAGAAGGAAACTAAGGTCACCCGGGACAGAGGTACCCAACTTGAGTTCACCTGAAAATCCCCTGAGGAGTTTAAGGACTGAGATTGCCAGGCCTTGCCCGCAGCTGGAGGTCGAGTGGGACCAGAACACCTGCATCTTAAACCAGGGGCCACAGCGATTCCGGCGCAAGGACCACAGGCCCCATTCGTGGAAATGTCCACTGGCCAGGGTCACAGCAGTGGGGGAGACAGGGTAGGTTTGTGGAGGGCAATGAAAGTCAGGTCGGCCTGGGGAAGACGCTAAAGAAGGGCCCCCAACCTCCCCACCAATAGCCAGTGAAGGATGCAACGATGGCCCTTGCTGCTTCTGTGTATTAATAGGCAACACAGGACACGCCCCAGATCGTACACGATGACAACATGAGCTCTGTGCAGGGTTCTGGGCCGACTGAGGGCCTTATGGCAGACACAATGGAGCTGCTCCTGTTTTCCTTTGGACTGAAATTGTTGCGGCAACATGTATAGCTAGCATTACAGCTCTTAACGAGGGAAAGAACCAAGCAGCACACACAGAGTTGGAGAACAGTCTATTCACGCAGCAAGCTCAACCCAGCAAGTGGTACAGCTCACTTCCCGACTTCTGATCTTCTGACTGCCTTCCTTGGTCTCCTCCTGCTTTTATACCCTTGGTAGGACTCCAAAAGCGTCCAATCAACTACAAGCTTTAACATCCAATCAGCAGCAAGCTTTAACATCCAATCAGCAGCAAGCTTTAACATCCAATCAGCAGCAGTGGGATTCAAAAACTACCCAATCAGGATCATGCGAGTGGGGCAGGAAGCAGGCAGGGGCTCTACCCCTGGCCAGGCCCCAGCAACGTGCACCCCAACCGGCCTCGCCCAGCGCTGGCCGGGGAGATGTGAGCGATGGGGTGGCAGCAAGCGCCCCGTCCTGGCACCCGACATTTTCTGTGTCAAAATGACTTCCAAAGTACTCAAGGACTTTCCACCTCCTAGGTTAGCTATGGTGACAAAACAACTGCACCGGAGGAAGCGGCACTTCCCAGCTAGTACACCTTCTGCAGTATGAACCAGGCAGGCAGCGGTCCTGGTTTATTTTTGTAAAGTGAGGTTTTGGATTATTGGCAGGGGATGGGGATGAGAAGAGGGAGGGAGAGATGTGGCAGTGTGACTGAGGGTTGAGGCGGTGGCTTATTCTAAACGGCCTACCTAGTGAACAGGCCTGGGTTCTGAGTTCTAGGTGGTTCTAGCGTGGCACCTGAACCACTGGTATCGACACTGCCCAGGGGCTTGTTTAAGCGCAGATTCCAGAGCCTTACCTATGGGGTCCGCAGGTCTGGGGCTGAGCCCAGCTCCCTGCGTGGACAATGACGACTGTAGGGCCAGAGAATCACTGTTCTTGAGTTTTCCATTCAAGACAGGGATGCTCAGTGACTTAACAGACCACAAGAGAACTGGCAATTAAGTCATTCAATAAACATTCTGCTTTCAGGAAGTTGATCATTGCAGTGTTTATCTCTGTGCTACCCAGTTGTGAGAAAGACAACGAAAATAGATTGATTTTAGGAATTTCTTCCATCACTCTAGGGCCTATTGGTTTGTGAGTGCTATATAAGGATTAAACCTGTCTGGGTCCCTGAGCACAAAGCCATCTGACCATCAGAATAGTGTTCCAAGGAGGAGGAAATTGGCCATGGCGACAGTTTCATGCACAGAGCGCTGGGTCTGAGCCAGGCCCTGTGCACGGTGCTTCACGCCATCCTCACGTCAGCCTGGCCAGGTAGGAGCTATTCTTCTTCCCCTTTTACAATTGAGGAATCTGAAGTTCACAGAGGTTAAGTAACTTGCTCAAAGTCATGTAGCTGGCTAGTTAGGGCCTTGGTTCTAGTCCAGACAATCAATAACCTAACTGCATCATGCCCACAACTTACTCTGGTTGTCCCACTGGTAAAATGAAGGTAGGGTGGCCCAGATAAGCTCTCAGGACCTTCAGATTCCAATATTCTGTGGTTGGGGTGTGCAGGGCATGCATCTGAGCTCGTTCTGTGTGCTCCATCACCCCAGAATTCTGCGGAGGGTTCACCTTGGGCATCTACAACTCTCCTTCCAAAGTGCAGGCAGGTAGATTCATATAGTTTACCAGAAAAGATTTCTATCTGCAACATTTCTCAACTAACAGAGATGGCACAGGTTGATTTAAAGCATTTCCTAAGGAGCCAAGTAAGCCAGAAGGAAGAGGGATTTCCACGCCACACCTTAGCTATGGTTTTGCAGCCATGCCTGCTACTGATGCAGAAGTTACCAGTTCTTTCTAAAGTGAGGATAATTTTGGAATTTGATATTTTTAGGGTTATGACTCCTCTCTCGTTCCATTAACAGTAAAGCATCTTTGACAAAAGATTATGAAATCACATGTAGCACCGATTAAACTATTTTCCAGGTAACTTCTGAGCCAGGGTATGTTCCAAGACTCTTCAGCATTAAGTAGTTTACAAGTAAAAAAAAAAAAAAAGAAATGACTGCTATTCTAACTCTAAAAGCTGAAAACTGGGGTGCGATAAGTAAGGATGCTTCAGATCATCTGCATTACTACAAATCACGGTAGTTTTTGTACACAGAAGTAACAACGATTGGCCGCATGGGAATCAAAATGCATTAGCTCCTGAAGAGGGATTTTGAAAATTTCATTTCCCCGAGAGAGACGCTGATGCACGGGGCATTTAGCTCTGTGTTTTATGGTTTCTCAAACTCTTTTTCACATTTAGCTAGTGTGATAGCTGGAGTTAATGCTGGAAGCTGTAAATGCTGTCATTATTTCTGTTTTTACCTTCATTTAAGCGGAAAAATCATGTGATTTACTTATCTCCAGGAGGTGTCCCAATTCCAGCACTGCTTAACGTGAAACTGCTCCTTAAAAGCAAGCAGGCATAATTATATTCTCTCTTGAACTAAATTGCCCTCCCCCAGACTAACAAGAAATGGTTCAATTAAGTAGAATGTTACCAACGCGGGACATGTAACTGACGAAAGGTGCCTTTTCTCCCACATGAGCGAGAAAAATCTGGCTCCAAGACATGTTGAGGAATTATGACGATGAGATCTGTATTTTGATGGACTTCTGGACAAAGTCTAAGTGCGTCTGCCTGCCCTTTTCCAGTCACTTGCTGCAGAGGAGAGGAGTTCAAAACCAGCGGCCTCCTCCAGAGTGGTATCCGTGTGCAAAGCAGATGAGGCTTGAGCTATTCTACTTGGCCTGGGAAGGGTCCCAGCCTCACCCCACTCAGCACCCTCCCTCTCCCACAGCAGCCTTTTGGCCCCCTTTGTGGGACCCTCATGCTTCCAGAAACCCAGTCTGAAAGCTGAAGACCTACAGAGCACTGGTAGCTCTCTTACCTATTGTGGTTTTACTTGAGCGTCAAGAGTGAAGCACAGCCCAGAGAGCTACATGACAGAATCGTGTAAGACTTGAAATAAATGTGTTATTTACAATATCGTAATATACTTTCTTCCCCAGTCTGTATTCTTCCCTGCAAACTCAGGAAGTTTCCTGTTTTATGGCTGTACTGCTAGGTACACTGCATTACCTAGAGTTTCCTAAAAGTGACTGGCAAACATTTCACGTTTGCTATGAAAGTAGCTCTAGGGAACCAAAGACGCCTATAAAAAATTAAGTTTTTCTTCCCTTTTCTCCCTTCTTTCCTTCTTTTCTAGTCTCCATCCTTACTTCCTCCCTCTCCGTCTTCCTTTTTTCCACTTCTTTAAAAAGAAGAGTCTTTAGAGATACACAACTCAAACCTTACTTCTTGGCCGGGTGCGGTGGCTCGCACCTGTAATCCTAGCACTCTGGGAGGCCGAGGCGGGAAGATCGCTCAAGGTCAGGAGTTTGAAACCAGCCTGAACAAGAGCGAGACCTCGTCCCTACTAAAATAGAAAGAAATTAATTGGCCAACTAAAAACTATATAGAAAAAATTAGCCAGGTATGGTGGCACATGCCTGCAGTCCCAGCTACTCGGGAGGCTGAGGCAGGAGGATCGCTTGAGCCCAGGAGTTTGAGGCTGCTGTGAGCTAGGCTGATGCCACAGCATTCTAGCCCAGGCGACAGAGCGAGACTCTGTCTCAAAAAAAACAAAACAAAAAAACAAACAAAAACCAAAACCCACCCCTCACTCCTTTTAGAAGCACCTTCCAGGCTGGTGCCTCTAAAATAAAATAGAATAAAAAACTATTCTTTGAGAGGGTTCTTTTGGGACCTTCCCTTAAAAATGTTTAATTTTGATATTATGAGTTCCAGAAAGCAGCTGTAACTTTCCTTTGCCCAAAGCCAGTAAGACCCCTTTTTTTTTTCTTCAGGTATTGTGATGTTTGTGGCACAAATGGGATCGGTATAATAATTTAGTTGCCAAAGGAACTGTTCAGAAATTTTATAACACAGTGGTATTTAGCCAGCCATGGGGAAAGAAAGGGCTGATTCATTAGGATTTATTTTTCCACTGAGGCAACAAATGCTAAAGACAAACACCTGCCAAGACCTTCAGGCTGTTAACCTAAATGCCAAGGTCTTTAGTAAGTTTCTTTTCAAAACTGGAAAAGTAAAGTTAGATGGAACTGCTGACTCGAAGAACAAGTACAAAGTACCCAGTGCAAACCAGAACTCAGGCTCACCCTGAACCCCATGCACTTGTCAATTACACCGTTTATGCTCAGTGGGGTCAGATGTGGGACTAAAGCCTGTGGCCAGGAAAGGTCAAAGTCATGGTTATCCACAGGGGACCAGGGAGAGGAGTGAGGAACTGTGGGTGCAGAGAAAGGGCACTGAAGAAAATGGTTTACAGCCTAAACTCTTCTTAGAGATTCTGCCATCTGAGTGGGAGGCTTTAGACAAAGGGATCTTCTTCTGATTACATCATTTCTAGTTTTACTGGCATAATAAGCTCTACAATAAGAACTGACCTAATCTGCCTTAAAGTACCTGCTCCTCTATTTTTCTCTCCTAACTGCATCTGAAATGTTCCTTCCCTTGTGTCCTTTATTTCCACATTCCACATTCATTCAACAAAGGTTAATTATCTACTGTAAACTGAGTTAATTGTTTTCAGTAAATAAGACATCACTTCTCAACTTCCTTCAACTAATATTTCTTCCAGAATTTGCACTTTCTTACTCTAGCAGTTTCAGCATCATTGCCTACATTTTCAGTATGTTTGTTGACCTTTTGTATTTCCTTTTTTTGTGAATTGTCTACTTATAGCTTTAGCTCATTTTCCTATTAGAGTATCTATTGTTTTTCCTATTGATTTGTAAAAGCTCTTCATGTATTTCTAAGGACGTTAACTCTTTGTCTTTTGTATGTGTTGCAAATATTTTTCCCAATTTGTATTTCTCTTTCATTTCCGCATAAGTATTTTGTTGCCATGGTGAATTTAAATCAATCAATTTCTTCTATTGTGCTTATGGCTTTGGGGATCGTAAAGAGAAAAGTCCTCCCTTACCCTAGGAATATGCCAGTATTCACTTACAGTTCTAGTTTTTAAAAACAATGTAATATTTAATTCTTCTCTAATTGCAGGGCTCTAACATTTTAAAAATAGTTTTTCTCAGCACCATCTTTAATTGAAATTTCTATTGAGAGAATTGCAGACTGACATGTAGTTGTAAGAAGTAAAATAGACAGGGACTGTAAATTAGCACAGTCTCAATGGAAAACAGTATGGAGATTTCTCAAAGAAATGTAGACTTACCATTTGACCCAGCAATCCTACTACTGGGTATCTACCCAAAGAAAATAAGTCAGTTTATCAAAAAGACACCTGCACTCGAATGTTTATTGCAGCACAATTCACAATGGCAAAGATTTGGAATCAACCTAAGGGCCCATCAATTCATGAGTGGATTAAGAAAATGTGGTGTATCTATCTCTATATATCTATCCACACACACACACACACACACACACACACACACAACATGGAGTACTACTCAACCACAAAAAGGAATGAAATAATGTCTTTTGCAGCAACTTGGATGGAACTGGAGACTATTATCCCAAGTGGAGTATCTCAGGAATGGAAAAACAAACACCGTATGTACTCTCTAATAATTAGGAGCTAATGATGGCACACATGGCACAAGAGAAAGTAAAAGGTCATTGGAAATCAAGCAGTGGGGAAGTGAGAGGTAAAACCTACCAACTACAAATCGGGTACATGAACACTATTGGGTGCTGGGCACACTAAAACCCCACCTTAAGCACTATAAGTATCCATGTAACAAAAACATTTGTATCCCTTTAATATTTTGAAATTAAAAAAGAAATAATACAAAGAGATTCTGTTATACTTTTACCCAGTTTTCCCTAATGGTAACATTTTGCAAACTATCCAGTAATATCACAACCAGGATTTTTTTTTTTTTTTTTTTAAGACAGAGTCTCACTCTGTTGCCCAGGCTAGAGTGAGTGCCGTGGCGTCAGCCTAGCTCACAGCAACCTCAAACTCCTGGGCTCAAGCGATCCTTCTGCCTCAGCCTCCCGAGTAGCTGGGACTACAGGGATACACCACCATGCCCGGCTAATTTTTTCTATATATATTAGCTGGCCAATTAATTTCTTTCTGTTTAAAGTAGAGATGGAGTCTCGCTCTTGCTCAAGCAATCCGCCCGCCTCAGCCTCCCAGAGTGCTGGGATTACAGGCGTGAGCCACCGGCGCCCGGCCACAACCAGGATATTGACATTGACACAACCCACTGGTCTGTTTCTATTCCCTCCGATTGCTCTGTGCTTGCGTGTGAATGTGTATTTAGTTCTATACAATTTTGTAACAGGCGTGGGCTCCTCCTATAAGCATTTTTGAATAGTCCATTCTTTTTCCACTCTCTTGAAATGTCACTTATCAGAGGCAAAATTCTTATATTTTATTTATGTCTAGATTTTATATTTTGTTCTATTGATCCACTGTCTATGATGGGGCTGGTATCAGAAACACAAACAGTTCTCCTTTCCTGTAGGTTGGTTGGGAAGACCCTTCCTTCTTCCTTTGCTCTTCTTCTCTCTTCTCCCTTTTTCTTTTCAAAACTGCCCTTGCTTATTTCATGTTCAATTTTCCTGATGAGTTTCAGAATCGTTTGGTTAAGTTCCAGAAGAGGATATTTAGATTTTGATTGGGGTTGCCTTATATTTAGAGATTCATTTGTGGAGAAATGACATTCTTACCAAATTGAGTTTTTCTATCAGGAACACAGTGTATCTCTCTGCATTTATAGAAATCCTTTAAAAATGAGCCTTAGTAGAATTTTGTAATTACTTCATATGAATTGTGCACAAATCTTATCATGCTGATTCCTGTTTCATAGCTTTTGTAGATGTTGCGGATGGAATCTTTCCTCCCCCCATATATATTTTTTGGTTGTTTGTTGTCTTATTATTGATGCTTTTTATTGTGGCAAAATATTCATAAAATGTACCATTTTAACCATTTTAAGTGTACAATTCAGTGGCATTAAGTACATTCACATGTTGCATAACCATCATCACCATCCATTTCCAGAAATTTTTTGTTATCCCAAACAGAGCTTCTGTACCCACTAAACAATAACTCCCTAGGCTCCCTCCTTCCCCCCAGCCCCTGGGCAACCTCTATTCTACTTTCTGTCTATGAATTTGCTTATTCTAAATTCCTCAGATAAGTGGAATCATATAACATTTGTCCTTTTGTGTCTGGTTTCTGTCATTTGGCATGATGTTTTCAAAGTTCATCCATGTTGTAGCATGTATCAGAATTTCATTCCATTTTTGGCTGAATAACATTCTCTCGTATGTATGCGCCACATTTTGTTTGACCATTCATCCATCAGTGGGCACTTGGATCGTTTCCTCCTGTTGGCTGTTGTGAATAATGCTGTTATGAACTTGGGTGTAAAAAGATCTGTTTGAGTCTCTGCTGTTAATTTTTTTGGGTATATACTAAAAAAGAATATTTAATATATTTTACAATGGATTATTAGTGGCATACAGCAGCAGAAAGGTATTAAATTTCCAATTAGAAAAAAAAATATCAACATCCCCTATCTGCCTAAAAACAAAAATAGAAAACCAACCCAAAACATATGTACTCATCCCTCAAGGCCCTTGTTAAATGCCCTTCCTAGTCCTCCCAGCCCTGACCTCACTGTGATAATTGTGCACGAACCCTTCCCCATTCCTAGGCTGTGAGCTCAGCACATACCAGGCACCCAAAACTTTTTGTAATTGTTCATGAAAAATCAGCTCTTTGTGCTGTTGAGTCTTCTGGATGAGTTTCTTTGCAAAAGCAAAAGGGAGTAGTAGTTAGAGTAGGCGCAATAGAAGGACTCTTTCAACCTTGCAGAAGTGGTCTCAAGGCCACAAAGGCAGGTGAATTTATCTGAAGGGCCAGGTTGTTCTGTCAATGTCTAGGTATCTATTGCAGGCCTGGGAATGCACTTAGAATATATTTGTCTTTTGCTTTCCTCACAAGAATGGTA